CATTCTACAGATACAGTGAGCATCAAAACTTATATGCAACACTAGAACGGTTCTCTCAGTTCTTGCTCTGAAGGAGGAACTGTTTTCGAATTTTGTGATTTGGGGCTTGTTTTGGTTTTTGTGGTTCAATCGGTTCAGAACTAGTATTAAAACCTCGATTAAAACAGTCCTCCATTATTTTTTGTGCGCAAGTAGTTCTGCGCAATCCCAGAACCGTTCCAAATTTCGAACCAAAACAAAGTTACCTGACTCCAAACCACTGATCTACAAACCCGATTTTGTACAGTAAGATCGATGCGCAAGCCCTTAGTTCAACATCAAACATCAATATAACTTTTGGATGATTAACTCTTAACGGATAACTTCAACTTGCCGTTATATTCTCAAAAATTTAACGATTAACGATGATCGGAGTTGAATTTTTGAAGTAGCTAATTAACGAAGTTAACTTCTCATCTTTGGTAAAGAGACGCATGTTATAACTTATAACACTATCGAATTGGTTTGTTCCTGCAAGATGGCTGTGAATCTGAATTACTTGGCTTGTGAAATATTTAGAATCTACATAATTATACAAATTCATGTCAATGAAATGTGTATTAACATATCGATAGTAAGTATATCTCACACAATTATTATTTGTTCGAAATCGAATCAATTCCATTTCTCATACACTCGGAACGCGAAACAAATACAGTAAGTATATGTTCACAGTTAAATAACCGATATACGATTCCTTGAGAATACCCTCAATAATGGCAAAAGTCGAAATACATTATTCATAAGACCATGTCTTGGCACATTAAAATAAAATAAAACAAGGCAAATCTCTGCCGGCTACAGCGAGTATATAAAACATTGTGACCGGGGGACATAAATAACGCAACTTAAAATATAAAAATCGAGTCCGGCCCGTTCGATCGGTAATTAATTTTTTAATGCGACTTTAATCAATGTTAATTGTTTATTTATACGTTTTAGGATATAATTAAAAGAGTTATTTGGAGTGGTGCAGGCGGTTTTTTCCCGTTGTCCCCGTCTGTGTCGAGTCGTTTGTTCCAGAGATGTGAAGTGGATTGTTAATTTTAATTGATACAAGTTTTTTTGCCAAAGGATGGGATTGGAAATTATCCTTGTATTTTTGCAATTTTAAATTAGTACAACTTTATATTATTACTCTTGTTTCTTATACGGAATGTCTATGGTGGATATAAATTACATGATGGCATTAATCGTAAGTTAAAAAATAATGTCAAAAGCACAAATATTTTTTTCAATAAAACACTTTTCAAACGGAAACAACAAAATATATTTCATATCCCATACGAATCTGTTGTTGACAGAATTATATTTTCATATATAAAAACTGTCTAAAATAAAAATACAATTTATTTACGCGAAGCCCAATATAACCGGCGGAAAATATAATAATAAATACAGAAATTTATAGTCGCTATTTACGAGGAACGTTTTGTTCTATTTGCAAATAATTGATTTATTTCGTTTTTATATACGGTTTTTATGCCCCATGGGGACCCTATATAGCCGCCGCCAACGAAATAAATGTTGAACAACACTTGAAATAAAATTTATTAATTTAATTGTTCATAATATAAAATTATTGCTTTTTGCGTTGAATGAGTGAATTTGAAATAAAATATGAAAAATACAACTCAGATCATGATTTTGTCACCACTCAAACCCATTTTCAAAAGTGGTCGCCCTTTATGTTTCAATATTTTCTTCTGTATACCAACCAAAAGGGTATACCTTAATCCTAAACAAACCATCTATTATCCAACTGCCTGCCAACCAAAGAGGGGTCACCTTTAACTCGTACCAGTTGTGTAAATCTTTTAATTCGGTCGACAAATAAATCATCGGGATTCTCACTCATGCTTTTAATGCGTTTAATAGGCTTATGCATACAGCAAATAAAAAGGTGGCCCTACTTTAGACCACCTCTATATACACCCCTGACAGAACGAGGAGGGTTGGTAATTCGAGTATAATGGTGATGATGGCTTTTGGGAATCCACAACCGTCAGTTGGTGATGGTAGGGATGAATTTTTGTTTATAGGTGAGAAGGAAATATTTAAAATTTATGTCAATGAAGAATAAAGATGTCTCATCCAAGATTTTAATCATACGAATCTTATTGGTGGAAATATATTGGCAAAGAGTTATGAACCAATGGCTAAGGTTGGAACATTCGATTATTTCTAGAGAATCTTCAAGAATAAGTAATTGTGAGAACATCTGGAAAAGATCAATTTTTTTGAAACTATTTTCACAAGTTTAGCATTGCCAGTTCAACCGGAATTCATTGGCGAATTGGCAACATTGGAACTTCACTGAGTAACTTCAAAGGATTAAATTTTACCGAAACTTTTTGCCCTTTGGGCTAAATCCAAAGTTGTGTTGGCAAAACTTGAAAAGTTGAAATAGGAAAGTGTAACAAAGACAGACTTCGACAAATCAAATATTTCACCACAAATTAATATTAAAACCGTAAGAATAAATAAACCGACAGACACTTAATAAGCCGCCCATTAAATCGCCAGCTAATAAAGAATTTTATAGATCATATAGGGCCTATTATGAAAGGATTTTTACGGCGGATTTATGGTCCATTCTAGATTATGGCGTTATTAAAACAGATTTTTTTCGGGTAAATATCGGAACATACGTTTTAGGTGAGAGTTCTGTTTTGGGTTTTATGGGACTGGGTGGGTTGTGAGGGGGTCGTCAAACGCTTCTATGTAATAAAGTTGTTACAAAAAAAGAGCAAATATTTACCTTTCTATAGATTTTGTGGCCATTGAGAATAACTTATAAGCAAATTGAAACAGTAAAGGAATATGTGGGTTTATACAAAATTGAAACAAAAACCCTATTTTAGTTGAGGCGGTTCAGATTATACGAAGAAGAAAAAAGTGTGAAGAACCTGATCAATTTGAGCGATAACATATGCATGAGGGGTTAAGGACAACTAGCAATTTTCTTCAGTCCTCTGACCCAGCAAATTAGCTTCAATCTCTCATAGGCATCTTGCACTTGTATAGAGACAAAATAAATGTAAGCTGCATTATCATTTTTTTTACCAGGACCACAAATAACGGAAATCTCGAGCAACTCAGAGGAAATTTAAGGAAATCAGTAGTCAATCTCTAGATCTTAGGCATGCGCAGTTTTCAAAAATCAAAAAAACCACCTATTTAAAATATTATTTCTTCAAATCTGAACTTTTTAAAAAAACGTTCACTGAATAAAAATAAATGTTGCAACCTTGTCTGCGCCATCAAATTTAGGAGTGACCGCGTTCGACCACAAGGAACGGTACTGCGAACGGGAGATAGAGAAGACGCAACTAGACTTGAGAACAAGCTGGGGCGGTTCCTTTAGACGCGTGTCTGTAATTATTCATTATTCAATTTTCATTTCTATTTTGCATTAAAATTGATTATTCAATCCAATTTGTTATTAGTGCGTGTATACACTGAAAGAAGGATTTAGTAATAATAACCTAAAATTAGTGACTATTACTAAATCGCTTATTGAAATATGGCTTATTAAACCTTTGGTCACAACACACAAATTATTTGTTTAAAATTTGAGAATAAAGCACTTATTTAATGATATACTCTATCAAATAATAGTTAATTAACGCATATTAATAATAAATAAATATTTTGTTCTCTGAAGTTGGTGTTTGCTTCTGGATTTTGTCTTTACTAATAGTAAATTGATCATATTTTTCAAAAATATACGTTTGTTAATAATAAATTCTGGTTTCTTTTGCTGGATTAAACATAACTTTATATTTATTACCAGTAAGTAAACAATATTTGATTCAAATAATCATTTATTAATAGTAAAAAACGTTTATTCGTAAATATTATTTAGCTTTGTTACTGTTAATTTAGAATTATTTACCATAAGTATTTTTTTTCTTTAAGCCCGGTTGTACAATTGAAGCCTATCATGGCTTAGTTAAGCTTTCTGGTACTTGAAACCTTCCCATTTAAAATGCACAGCTGTAAGATTTGACAACACGTTGACAGTAATGAATTTTAAATAGGAAAGTACAAGTAACAGTTAAGCTTTAATAAGCCACGATTTATAAGCTTCGATTGTACCACTGGGCCTTAGTTTGTTCCTGGGAATAGGGCACTCTGAAATAATTAAAAACGAACCGATCTTTTTTTGAATTTATTTTTCTTCGGTAGGCTAGATTCTCACATAGGTAACATCATTTTGTTGAAGAACATAGCAACATGGCGGGTGTATATGCGGCGACCTGTGAATGTACACAGATAAAAATTATTTCTCAGAACAAGAAAAAATATAATCTTGCTTATATCGACTTAAGTGGACACTATACATTCTCATAATGATTATTAATTCTTAAGTTGATACTCTGTGAATTTTCATTTGGAAATGTAATATTTAGCAAATTATTTTTTTCAAATAAATATATGTATAGTCGATTAAATATTATTGCAAATTTAAATAGAGAAATTGAAAATATTCAATATTAAAACAATCATTGCTGTGATACAAAACAATATCTATTCATTTCAACACTTCTAGTATTTTGAGTCAAGAAACTTTAAAAAATCGGTGAGAAATTAAAATTTGTTTAAATACGAAATTATAACCTATTAAATTGAAATTAGGGATGTCTTATCTTAAATAAATATTTTTCTCAATTGATCCGATATTGATATTGTTTCGAATACGAGATAGTTTAAATTAAAAATAATATTCTCAAATTGATGAGCCCAATTTCAAATTGAGAATACCATAATTTCATTATATCCCCCACTACTACCTCCTTCTTTTAACTTGCTGCACGCTGCCGCCTGCAGGCTGCACGCACGAAATCAGAGTCTAGAGCGTATGTACACGTGGAATTGGCCTTGCAATTTTCGCCAGTTTGGATTTTGAATTACCTATTTATTGCCAATGCTTAGTGTTTAGGTGAATTTGTGAAATAATGGAAGAGTTACTGAGTGCATGGGGCTATGAAGACCTCATAGAATCGTTTAAAGGTAAGTTATTAACATTTTTTTTTGTTCGCGAATTCAAATGTGAAAAATTTCCGTTTCCCCTTTACGCTATCATAATAATCGTTAAGGCAATACCTATAAGTTTCCTGTTTTGACAAAAATTACCGAGATATTCTAGAGTATTTTCAATACCTATTTGGATTTTGGAAGTATAGCAGCGGTTTACCAGTCGTTTTAGTGATTTGTGAATGGTTGGTAATTTTTTGTTTCATCTGATTAATGATTGATAAACAAGGATGGGGTTATTCTCCAAATGGATATTAAAAATACTAGACAGGGCGCGTTATTTTCTCATCGATGTATCCACCATTGAGACAGTCATTCCGATTTTCTGTGAACTAGACAAAGATAGACTGCTCATCCATGGATCCACCGGTGAGAATTAGTGAGAAAAAAAACGCGTACATATAAATAGGCATAAAATTTATAAAAAAAATCAATAAATAGTTGGCTTTTCTTTGGACTTGGAATTGTATATTTATTTATACCTAGTAAACGCCAAATAAAACCCGTTGTACCTGAAAAACTGGTTTACCCGAATTTTCCATTTAAAATTGGAAAAATTCAGCCAGTTATTGAAGTGGTTTAAGTAGGTGCAACGGTTTTTGTTATGCGTTTACCATAAAAAATAGGTGCGCTTTCATTGCTTTTCAAAAAATAATGTTGGTAATAACGTAACCTACTGTATTTAATTTTTTCAGAAAGTTTCGGTTTTTTCAATTTTTCTAGGCGCAATAGCAATATATGGAATAGAGTGGGTAGGTGCTAGCTACGTCACTGATGAATTGCATTTCTTCTGTTGACTCTTTTTACCTTCCTCAAATTACCCAATATCTATTTCAAAGAAATTTTATTAATATCTTAATAAATTTTGTAGAAAATGACTTGAATATAAATAACATCTTTGAGTTAACGGAGCCATTAATTAAAGAACTGATACCATCAATTGGTAAAAGAATGGCTTTCCTGCAAAAATTTAACTCTGCAAAGGAATTGATGTTATTGGAAGTTGTAGTAAGTATATCTACCCTTATACATAGCTACCTACTTCAAAATTTTGAAAATATTTTGTATAGGTATCCATATTTCCCAAATAAAACAAAAAACTTTCCATCGACATGACATGAAAACTGGTATGAGAAAATGCCGTTTTAAAATTTCAGCAATTCCTAATACCTACTTCCGGGAATATCCGCAAAATTTCGAAAATTGCGATTCTAGTTTTTATTTTTTCCTGGCTTTATCTTAAGAGATCAAGAAAAATCCAAGATAACTTTCTCAAAGCACATTTGGGTGGAATTTACTGTGTTGATATTATTTTAGAAATTCGACGTTTCGGTATCCAAATGCAATCATTAACCTAATTTTTTCTAATATGGACCTGGATTTTTTTTACATAATTAGTTTCGTTTTGACATTCTAAAATACGTTATACATAACACGTTATAAAATTCCGACGTTTCGACCAAAAATTTTCATCCCCAGGCAAAAATTATTAGTATAATTTTTGATTACGAATTCGAGTTTTAATCCACATGTCAATTTTAGTTAAAAGACGTGATATAATGTTTCTTCTATGTCAAATAAAAAAATCCCAACGAAGAAGCGTTAACAAATCAACAATTTAACATCTCGCTTGTTTGTTATTTGTTGGGTGTTTTTTTATTTGACTAACTAAAATTGGCATTTGGATCGAAACTCAAAATCGTATTCAAAAATTATAGTAATAATTTTGCCTGAGGATTAATATATGGGGACGAAACGTCGGAATTTCAAAACGTGTTGTGACGTATTTTAGAATGTCAGAACGGAACAAATTATGTAAAAAAAAATCCAGGTTCCGTCTTAGAAAAAAAAACGTCGATGAATGGCATTGGGATACTGAAACGTCGGTATTTCCGGAAGTATTAGGAATTTCTGGAAGTTTAAAACGGCATTTTGTTAAGCACCGAAATGCGCAACTTTGCTGTAATTTAACCGACCCTGTATCTCTACGGTTTCCGAGATCCCAGTGATGAGGCTCAAATTTCAGCTACCCTGTGCAGGGTGAGTTTTTTAAAATGTTACATGCTTATATTTTAGAAATGGGTTTAATTTTTTTTGCGAAATTTTGATGACCTAATATGGAGACGGGGGAACATATTATTTGAACATTTCGGCCAGTCACCCCCTCCGCATTTGTAGGGGCGGTGGGTACCTAATATTCAATTTTTAAATGGAATTATGTATTTTTTTTAAAGAAACTCGAATCCACATAAAAATCTAGAAAAAAAGGACAAAAATATGTTTAGTTTCAATAATTATGTCCCCTCGCCACCTTATTATACGTCACCGAAATTTCAAAGACAAATTTGAGCTGTTTGCGAGATCCCCTTGTAAAACTTAAAAAAACTCATCCTGTAGGTATTGGTGTGAAAATTAGGTACCTACCCATTTTTGAAACCTCATCAAAATAGGTCGTACTTTACCCATAGAAAACACCAAGTAAAAACCGTTGTACCTCAAAAACTGGGTACTAGAACTTTCCCATTAAAAATTCACCTATACCAGGGAAGTGGTTAAGATACAAACAAATGTACAACGGTTTTTGTTTGGCGTTTAACATAGAAGAAATTTAAACATGAAAACAAACTTATTTTTCTAGAACATAGAAAATAGACCTCCAACAAACTTATTTTTGTAGAACATAGAAAATAGACCTCCGAGTCCGTCGACGACTAATAATAATAGTGAAGTTTCATCAGCCATAAATACGAATAGTACAACTAGTATAGTTTCGGTGGATGGAGGAAGTACTAGTACTAGTAATAATAATAGTGAAGACTATTTTATAATTCCCGAAGACAACACTCGCATGGCTTTTTGCAACATAGTGGATGCACTTACAAACAACTTATTTCCTGATTTTCATTTGGGAACCTTATTGGAGACTTCTCCCCTTGGGAAATCTATTTTAAAATATTATGAATGTAACCAGACCTTGGACCACACTCACCGTAGCCGTCTTGTCGATATTATTGTTAAGCATATATTCAATTTTATCGTAAAAAAGTAAGTAGATGACTTCGGTTTCTCCAAAAAGTATATCTATAATTTATTAACTGCAGTGTAAGTACAATATAAATTATATGGAATAAAATATACCTGAGTATTTTTTATTCCATAATATCTTCAAATACATAATAAAAAATTGTCATTCTTTGTTGTAAGTGGAGTATCTACCTAATTTATTCCATATATTTTCACGCAATGGCGTACAAGCTAGTTCGTACCTCTCTTGATACCTTATACTTGATCGATTTTTTTTACAAAACTTTTTAGTTACAAGGTTGAGGCTTAATTTGATCTAATTCGATTAGGATTATAAGTTAGTTAGTACTTAGTTTTGTCTGTTGTGTTAATGATCGGTTTCTTTTAGTCGCCTTAAACACGATGACTTCAACCGAATTACTTCTAAAATTATCGATCTCTTTCCAAAAGAATGTCCTTCCACTTACTACATACCAGCTATACCTAAAAGACATTCCAACGTTGGAAAACCAATACTAGCAAAAGGAAGGTTGGTGGATAAAGTTAGAAATCTATTACATAGGAGTGGTGAAGGTTCACAGTTACGGAAAAAGAAAGGAGCGGAAGATCTACCGTCAGCTGATGCTAAAAGACGCACAGTGGAATGTAGCAATGGTAACGTCTTTTTCAGAGATAGGTATCTTTGAATATAATTTTTGGTTTGTTTTTATAGAAGATGCAGAGAGAGCATGCTTGTGGTTGAAAAATAGACAAGAACCTTGGGATGAGGTGATCGAAAACTGGACAAAAACTCATGACTTCCGGCACTGTGACAAAAATGCAAAGACAGTAGCAGATTTCCTGAAACAATGGCCAATATTAAATTCCCAATCGTCACAGGGATTGGTATGTATTTATAGCTATTAAGTATTTGTTCAAAGTTTCGTATAATTTTAGTAAATGGATTCCTAAATCCATCCATGTCGATAAATCCATATAATATTATTTAATCTGTTTTGTTTTAGATCGATATAGATTTCGATCTATTATATCCAAATTGTGGGTTAAAATTGGTTACCAATTGGAAGCATTTTTTTGAAACTGTTAAGAGATTAAGACACAAAAATATCAGAGATGAGACTCCGTTACTTCTCCTTAACCATTTACAAGAGCTAGGAGAGGATCATTGTGACAGTAAGTATATCAATCAAAATTTTCTTACCTAAATAACTTTCTCATACATATTAGATAATACATACGTACTACCTAATATTACTATATACATATAGAAAGCACTTTTTTAAGCTTGACCTATATTTATTTATTTACAGATATTGAAGCAGTTCAGCTCTATTTACTTTCCTATATGATTCCACCTAAGGGGCGTCTATGCTTAGAAAATAAAAAGCACTGGAAGTTTTCGTCGCAGGAGAGCTGCGATAGCCTTATTATACACGCAAAGGTTGTAAGGATTTATTTTTTTAGTTCTCCTCATTTTGCCTTTTTTTTTTAGAATTGTGGTGACATAGAGAGACTTATGAACGCCCAAAAAGAGAAGGCCAAAGCGAAAAAACTCACTCTACAGCCATATGTACTTATCGAAGGACCAACATTATGGGAAATAAGCAACTGTTACATTGTCATAGATGATCTTAAATACCAGGTGCCAACCGCTATGAAAGCGATAGACCTTTGCTTCAAAGTGTTCCATGTGTTCCATGCAAAGTACCCCCCTCAGTCTGATCACATTTGGACTTTGATTCAAAAAGGTATATATAATATCAATACTGTATATGATAAACAATATGCATATATCAATGACATATTAGAAAATCTCAGAGAGGTTGCAATTCCCGCAGTTTAAATATTTTTTTTTTTTTGTATGTAAGTACGGGTTATTCTTGGTATCTGCTTGAAACTTCTTTAATTTGTATAAGTAATTTTATTTAAAATCTTAACGTGTGAATTTTTGATATTTAAAAATGAAGTGTTCAGAGTGTGGTAAGAGCTTTATTTTAATTGACAAGTTTATTTTTCATTTACAGTATTTGCATAATGTATCAATCTTTACATGCACAGAAAGCGATTGCAAAAGATCTTTTCATAGGCGAGGTGTTTTTAAAAAACACCTATATAAAGAACATTCCTATATTTTAAAGAGTAAAAATATTTCCAAAAAAACGTTACATTTTTCTGAAACTGATGTTAACAGTCCCTCATCTACAAACGACTTAACTAATAGCCCGAGTAGCAGTGATCATAAACAGGAACCACAGTATGACAGCAGTGTTCATATTTTTGATAATGTGAATGCTTCTGATCTAGTTAATAAACTGGAAACTATATTAAAGAAATCTGCGGAAGATTTAGTATCGAAATTATATAATAATTTATCCCTAACCCGATCTACTGTTGATACAGTAATACAGTATTTCATTGCGTTTCTGAATAGTGGCGTGTTCAACATCGCAAATGAGTTAATATGCAATCTAAATAAACAACCAGATTCTAAGCTCAGTAATACACTTCATTCCCCAGTACTGAATATTTTCGAAAAAATTGAAAATTGTTTTTCGTTTTTAAGTACTGAATATAAGAGGTTTAAATATTTTAATTCTTGTGGAAAATTTATAAAACCTATACAGTGTCCTATAGGTACATCTACAGAAGAAAGCAGAAAGCAGGGGACTGTTTCGTTAATTTTAAAAGAAATATTTAGCGTATTCATACCAATGCGAGCAGTTCTAAAAGAGTTTTTGGAGTTACCTTCTGTTTTAGATAAAATATTAGACTATCAAAATAGTTTAGTATCAACCAAAACCAACGAGGATTGTATGCTGAATATTGTGCAAGGGGACTTGTGTAAAGATTTACGTTCCGATAAAAATAAAATTATTTTGCCAATTATTCTTTACTTTGATGATCTGGAGGTATGTAACCCTCTAGGAAGCCACGCTGGTTACTACAAACTTGGCTCCGTGTATTACACTATAGCAACTATACCCCCAGAATTCTCTAGAAGACTGGAAAATATTTTTGTTGCACAGATTTTTCACAGCAATGATCGAACACCGTTTGGAAATTCAAAAGTATTTAACTGTATTATTGATGAATTACTTTTCTTGCAAAACAATGGTATTCAAGTTAGTAAAAGCGATAAATCATTAACACAAGTTCATTTCACTCTTGTTTTAATTATAGGTGATAATTTAGGCGTTCATTCGCTCCTTGGTTGTTCTGAGAGTTTCTCCGCAACATATTATTGTCGATTTTGTACTGGTGAAAAATCTGAATTGAAAGTTCAAACTTCGGAGAACCTTGCTTATTTACGTCTAGAACCTGATTACGCTAATCATTCAGAAAACAAATTATTTGGCATTAAAGAGACATGTATTTGGCATAGCTTGAAAAGTTTCCATATTTATCGAAATATGACATGCGATATAATGCATGATCTTTTTGAGGGTGTGCATAGATATGATATGGCTCATATAGTTTCAGCTTTGATTGCCTCTAATTTCTTTAGCCTTTCCACTCTAAATTCAAAAATTAAGTATTTCTCATATCATAATGATGAGAAAAATCTGCCGCCTAATATTAAACAAGAACATTTAAACAATGGAAGTATAGTTTTCTCGGCAGCAGAAATGTTAACACTGGTTAGGAATTTCCGATTCATTATTGGTGACTTTGTTCCCGAAGGAAATGAAATTTGGGATTTCTATTTAAAATTATTAGATATAACAGATTTATTAACATCTCAAACTATTTCTAGTGGGGACGCAGACTATTTGAAATGTTTGATAACAGAACATCATGAAATGTATCTGTCATTATTTGAGGACAACCTGAAACCTAAACACCATTTTTTACTCCACTATCATAGAATTTTGAAACTAGTTGGACCACTCTGCCATATATCATCAATGCGATTCGAAGCAAAACATCGAGACTTGAAGACTAATTCTAACAATGTACGGAGCAGAAAAAATTTACCTTTAACATTGGCTTTGCGAATACAACTCAAAAATTGCTATAGATTTTTGTCTGGCACAGGACTTTCAAATATTATAACTTATGGTTCTGTTTATGAAGAAATATTCGATTTCTCTGAACACAAAGTTGATGAATTAAAAGACAATGTATTTTTTGTACCATGGTATGAAAAAAATGGAATTAAATTTAAATTGAAAGATGTTATTGTAGAGAGTAATATTGATACAGATATTCCACAATTTTCTGAAATATCACAAATAATGATTGATGTGAATAATTCGGAAAAATGTTATTTTGTTTGTAAAAAATTATTTATCATAAAATACAGTCTACATTACAAAGCCTATAAAATCAACTGCTCTTCTGATAAAAGTATTATATGTTTAGCAGACACTATGTCTTTATTCCCAACAAAAATTCACACATTAAGTACCGGAGAACTTTATGTTTCAACGCCAAAAATGTAACTTTATTTTTATTTTTAATATTATACTTGTACGTACCTATAAAGTCTAGAGTAAAGAGTAATATTTTTATTGAAATATTATTCGATACCAATAATATGCCCACTTACTTTAGTTATAGGTAGGCACTTAGGGTAGGCATTCCTAGAGTTTAGTTTATTTTACGTTTCAATCCCAAAAATATAAGTAAGTTTATTTTCTATTTTTATATACTTACCAAAGTACTCGTAAAGTATTATTGTTGACATATTTTAATTGCAATATGTACCAAATCTGTGCCATATTTGTTAAAGAATTAAGAGGTTTTTTTTATTGGCACTTACTTAAGACTATAGGTAGGCACTTAGGGTAGGCATACCTAGACAAGTTTAGTTTATTTTATGTTTCAATACCAAAAATATAAGTTTTTCTATTTTTATATACCTATACTCTTAAAGTATTATTAATGATATATTTTAATTGCAATACCAAATGTGTGCCATATTTGTTAGAGGATAGATTTTTATTTTTTTATATTGTACTCATGCATTATTATTAAGGTGATTATAATATGTATGTAAGTATGTATTTCATTAAGACAATAAATTTGTTTTGTATTAACATTTTTTATCTTATTATTTATATCGTTCACTACTCACAACTTTAAATTATTCAGCTACAAACGTACATTAACAGAAAAACCTCTCGGTGAAAACAGTGGCATATATATGGCCAATATTGTAAGTGGATTATACGCATCTTTGAAGCTGTTAGTTTTTGGGACGTTTATTTTATAATTTAAGTTGTTCCATGATGAATAATGGCAAGCCCTTGAAGGTATACCAAAGAGTAACAACTTAAATTATATAATAAACTTCTTGAAAACTAGTAGCTTCTTTCAAATAATGTGAAATATTTTTAATTTAAATAGAGAAAACTATAGTTTTGCGAGAAGAATTTTAATTAATCAAGGTGAATTTATAATAAAATCAATTTGAAAAGCACACCAATTCCAATTGAACTCGACAATTCTTAAACTGAAACAATAAGTATATCATAACAAGGCTACAATATTTTCAAATCAAAATAATAAAAACTTACGGTGACCATAAAAAACTATTTTTTATACTTGAAAGGAGAATACATGATTTCATGTTAAATTTTCACTTTATTTAAACTAATATAATAACCATTTCATTCAAATCATCAAAACACATAGAATGAAACTATTTCATTTGGTACAATTACATAGTAATTTCAAGAAAAACTAATAAAATTTTACTTTGAGTATTAAGGTTTCGATTTGAAACATCTTAGAAGTTCATTTTGAAAATAACATATACTCATTGGCGGAAGCGAAGCATATCAATTATTTTCAAGTGAACATACGGAGTGTTTGGCTGGAACATACATTTTAAAAATATCAATTTCTCAATGTAAGCATTTATTTATTTGCGCATATATGAGGTTATAATATGCTCAACCAAATCCGAATATTCTTAATACAAGAATTTCTTTTTTTCTGTGTAATAATGAACTATAACTCGATTATCTTCTCAGGTGTAATAGGAAAAAAAGGTTAATACAAAGTTGCTTGGTACCTATTAATTAACTGGCGCTTCTTCAGAAAATATTATTACGTTTGCAGTTTTATAAAACAACTTCAGCATCACCATCACAGCACGTTTCCAAAAACCGTTGTAATTCGACACTGTTGTGTTCCGCCACGCTATCTTCCACGATTTAATAATTATTACACTCAGAGTTGGGATAATATCATTTATAAGTTGACTGTTAACTTTGTATTTCGCCGAAGCACGCCAGAATAATGCAAAAGTAGGGAGTCGGTGGAACAGATAAGAGAAAACATAGGTCAAGGTGTTTCTTCTTTCACGCCTCGAAGCCAAAAGAACGAATAGCTCACAAATATAGGCGAGAGACAGTGCGGATGGTGGCGGGTGTACCAACGTTTGTTTACTGATATTATAATTTATGTATGGAAAATAAGGATTTATTATTAGAAACCAAGGAACAAGTTGAAATTTCAACTAAACTGTGTTAAAATGGAACATTATATATTTATTAATCTATAGTTACCATTTGTTTATAATTACTAAACCAGAACATTCTGTTAATAAATTATATTTATAAAACCCTTGTAAATCAATGTAAGAAATATTTTGTTCATTATTAACAAACATTGTTTGATATAAGAAAATAAGTCCTAATAAATCATGTGTATTTTATAAATAACTATTTTTAACAGTCATATTTTTAATTACCAATTTAATGTATTTCTTACCAATGCATATTAATTATAATATTGGTTTGGTATTTGTAACCAAATTTGTCAGAAACAAATATTTATTTATTATAATCTCGAATTTTTTTTCAGTGTAAGGAGCGTTCACAGATTAGTGGATTAAATGTTATTTTTTTTTGAGAGTTCAATTTATGCAAGTTCCTATTATTTTGTTCATTTTTATGTATTTTTTGTTTGTTTATAACATTTTTTATAACATGTGCATTGTTCATGTATTTAACAAAAATCGTTTCATACTGTGAACAACACAGATAAAGAAGTGCATTAGGGCCTCGTTGAATTTACTAACATTTTCCTACCCTGACGAGAGAATATCCTAGCAAATTGAAATAATCAATCTATAGAGATATTGGCTCAAAAACAACTATAGCTGAGTAGCTTTCCGTATGGCACCTCAGTACCTGCTGGGAAACTGGCTAACTAAGTCGAGGGTTTCTCTGCCGTGCTCTTACCCCTTGTTAGTTCCAGGATGAGAACGGTACGATTTACTTTAATAATAAAGTAGATGTTTCACAAATTTTTCGTTTCTTTTACATATCACAACTTCCCTTAAATTTCCCTAATATTTGCTATTTCGAGCGCATGTCCGTTTCCGCAACGTAGGTCCTATTTGTTTTTCATTTCGTTTTTCAGAAGATTTGTTGTTTAAAAGGTAATACAAATTCTCCTCGTTCAATCTTACTGAACGAACCCCCGGGTATGTTATACTACAATGTCTATTCCCGAAACTGGGAAACAGCTTTCTCATGAGAACTATTGCTCTGTCTTTGTCAGTATTATGGAAATATCAATATGGGCGACGATGACAGAACCTTCGTTTTCATGAGAACGCTTTACTCCTGTTTCGAGAATAAGGACACTGGTAATCAGAAGAAATCGGGGAAAATCATCGATGACCTTGTTTAACTTGGTGAAAATCAAAGTAAAAAAACCGCGAAGAAAACTTTGAAGCTTGAACAGCTAAAAACTATTCAAGCTGCATTGAAATTATTCCCTAAGGATTTTTAGAGGATTTGATTGGCTTCATTTTAAGCATTATTACGTTACGATCGGATGTAAATTAACAAAGATGTGAGGTGAAATGTGGTTCAATGTCATTTTGGAAAAAATCAAACTTCAGAAAATAACATTGAAGGACGTTTATTATTATTATTATTATTTTTTTCAGAGAAGCGTTTGAAGGATTGGCTTAAAATTTTGCAAGTGGATGAAGAAAGGATTGAAATTTGAGAAAAAAAATCAAAATTTGCTTTACGCACTCACCTTAATAAAAATCAAAGTCAAAAGGGTTTAAATCTCTGCAGCTGCGAAGCTATCGAAGCTGCATTGAAAATACTTCATAGAGATTTGTGAAGGATTTAGTTAGCTTCATTTCAAGCCTAATTACGTTAAGATCGGATTGAAATTAACCAAGATGTAAGAAGAAATGTGCTTCAATATCATTTTGGAAAAAATCAAGCTTGAAAAAACGACATTGAAGGACGTTTTATGTTTTTGCGAGGAAAGCGTAGAAGGATTGGCTTGAAATTGTGCAAGTGGATGAAGAAAGGATTGAAATTTAAGGAAAAAAATAAAAATTTGCTTTTACGCGCTCACCTTGATAAAAATCAAAGTCAGAAGGCTTTAAAGCTCTGCAGCTGCGAAGCTATCGAAACGAAGAAAATAAACGCTGATTAAATTAATTTCAAAAAACAGGACCTGAAGTAATGTTTCTAAATCTTAACTAAAGCCATCATGCATTCCATTACGAGCAAGAGAGGAATAAGCAGAAACTAGACTGGTCTGGGCATATTTAAACGACAGACGATTGGTCTACAAATTAGGGGAAGTCAAGAGGAAATCCAAGGAAATCTAAGGCAATCAGGGGAAATCAGAGGAAATTTTAAGGAAATCATGAGAAATTTTAAGGAAATCAATCAATTTCTAAATCTTACGTATGCGCAGTTTTCAAAACTCTTTATAACGTGAGGTTATATATCAGGGGAACTTTTGGGCAATCTTATACTGGATGTCTATTCCCGAAACTTGGAAAAAGCGTTCTCATGAGATCTATTCCTCTGTCTTTATCAGTGTTATAGAAATATCAATATTGGCGACGATGATAGAACCTTCGTTTTCATAAGAACGTTGTACCCCTGTTTCGAGAATAAGGAGAAATCATGGAAAATCATCGATGATTTCCCATTTTCCCCGTAAATACCCTTCGGAAACGACTAAATCACCGACGACATCGTACTAATTTGCGACAGTTTTGAAAAGCTATAGTTGATAACCAAACAGTTGACAAGAGCATCGGAAGACATGGGCTTCATAACGTGAGGTTATGTTATCAGGGAAACTCTTAGGCAATCTTAGTGGATGTCTATTCCCGAAACTAGGAAACAGCGTTCTCATGAGATCTATTGTTCTGTCTTTATCAGTGTTATGGAAATATCAACCTAAAAGTAAAAAATACACGAAAAACCATCATGAACCAGCCTTTTATGCATCCTAAATACCAAAAAATTTGACCTTATTTGGGAAACAGAATTCTCAACCGATTGGTATTACCCTTCCCATAATGATTCTGGATATTATGTCCAAAGAACAATGTCGAAAAAATATCTTAGACTCAAAGGACCATGGCGAGTGATAAAAGCGAGATCCAAGTTGATGGAGCATGCGCAGCATCAAAAGTTACCCATCTAAAATGGAGCTTTAC